CCCAGTCTCTGAAGTTAAGTCTTTCCTAAAGATTGTTAATTATTACGGGAAGTTTCTACCTGACATCTCCACAGTTCTAGCCCCTCTTTACAAGCTGCTGCACCACAACTGTCAGTGGCAAAGGAAGTCACTTTCAAGATAGTGAAAGGACTGTTGCAGTAAGACCAGTCTTGACCCATTATAGTCCAAAACCTGGAAAATAAAGATTTGCACAGGATGTCAAAAGATGCAGAAATTGTCACCATTGTCACCACCTGCTCCACTGTATCCCAAGGAGTTTCCAGACAAACCGTGGTCCAGGTTGCATAAGGACTTTGCCGGGTCCATTCATGGGGCGATTGTTTCTTGTTTTTATGGATGCGTACTCCAAGTGGCTTGAGGTGCACACCATGAGCAACATTACTGCTCCAGTGACAGTAGAGATTTTACATCACATTTTTGCTACCCATGGTTTACCAGACACCATTGTAACAGATAATGGTCTGAAGGGTTAAATTCTTTCTCTGTACACTATGTTCAGCAAAACACCAGCTGCAACATTAAATGTATCTGCTGTTGATAAGACTAGGGGCCTAAAGACACATAGACCGTTTGTTTTAAGAATCCCAAAGAATTGTTTTTGTGTAGAAGGTCAATTGCAACTACCTGCTTTTAGAAAACACTGACATAGCTCAGTTACGTAGTTAAGTTTGTTTAACCAATAGAAATTAAATACAATTGAAGTTTTTCTTTTTGAGACTTAAGCTTTTTGTCTTCCTTATCAAGTAAGTGTATATAAGGTCAGCTGTAACTTTTCATGTTAGAACCATTCTTCTAATTGCAGGAAGGGTGCTTCTCTTTGGCTGAATATACAATAAACTCCTCTTCTGCTCAACATAAAGGTCTCCAGTGGATTTTTACTCTACAGGTCCATCATCCACTGTGGAAGTGTTTAGAGAGTTTGGAGCCTGAAAACTAAGTTTTCCCATTTCCTGTTTCAGTACCGTATTACATCACAAACAATGTTAGGCCAAAGACCTGCTGAAATGTTGATGAGGAGGAAACCTAAATAACATCTAGACTTACTTCACTGAGACATCAGGACAAAAGGAAAAGCAAAAAGCCTGGCATGATCAGTATGCTAAAAAGCAGTGTTTAAAATCCACATGAGACACATGTTCAGGATTTTGATGGTGGTCCTTTTCTTACTTACCAGGGGTCATTCTTAAAATGCATGGTCCACTTCCCTTTGTAGTGCAGCCGATGAAAGGAAAATTGATATGCCGACACTTCTGTTTGTGTCATGATCCAGTAAAAGAAGATATTCTAGATCAAGCAGGACTGTCAGATCTAAGTGAAACTAAGGAACATTAAGGAACCTCAGAACAGGTACCAGAGCCGCCTGCTCCAGAGCTGGGAGCAGATTCAGCCATCAATCTAAGTGATCCAGCTCAGTGTGTTCAGCCTGCTCCTACAGCTTCTGTTCCCATCCTTGAGGACAGTGAGATACAGTTGTCAGGTGGGGCATCTCCTAGGCTTAAGATGGTTTACGTGCTGAAGGAAAGCCCTTGAGGGACTGAACTTAAAGTTGAATGAAATTCACAAAAAGAGAATAGGTTGAGTTTTGTAAAAGTAATTGAAAAAGAAAGGTCTTAAAGGGATGTTGTTATTGTTATTTGTTATTGCAGAAAGAAGAAAATAAATAAGGGTGAGATGTGTCATACATGTTGAAGCGTATAACATAAATATTAAATATTGTTTGACTTTCGAAACTGGTTCCTCCCTTTTCCTTTTGAAGTGATTGTAAGCAAGTATGCTGAGAACTTGTTGTTAACTGTTTCTTTAAATTAAAGTAACAAGTGTTAAAGTTTATTTGTGTGGGCTTATTGAAGGTTACCAGTGGTAACTTTTTGATGCTAGGTTTGATTGTTTCCAACCCTGTCTGTATCTGAGGATCAAATTATGCTCTGAGTGTGGGAGGGGCGTGTGTGCGATGGCATAATAGGCATCCAGGATAGTGTTATAGCACTGATCTAACATTTTGCCCCCCGGTAGCAATTTTTGTGTGCTGCTTATTTCCAGGAAGAACTCTCCAAAGATGGTACATGGTTGTGTATATGGTTACAAATCACCCAAAATGAGAAATGCCCAGCCCGGGTATGTGTTTTCTATCTCCGTAATCTGTTTGGTAAGGAGCTAAGCAGCTGCCATAGAGGGTGTGTGAGTTGAAATGTGAAATACAATGGCTGTGGAAGGGCTGTCGAATAAGAAGACGAAGACATACAACTTTCACTTGGAATGGGAGGATGAGTTTTTATTCTCCATGTTTAAGTTCAAAACTCTATGCCTGATCCATCAACAGAGTGTAGCTTTGCCCAAAAGAGGTAACTTGGAGCATCATCACTCCACGATGCATCTGAAGTTTAAGGACACGTATCCTCTGAAAAGTTCCATTAATTCAAAAAAAGTTGAACGAGATGAAAGCTTTGCTGAAGGCTCATAAATTTTTTTTATACCAAACCACGGGAAAAGGGAAAAGTCATCTCCGAGTTACCACCTAGAAAAGCACAAAAAAAAATTTACGGATAGAGACTTGTTCAAAGAGGCGATTCCTTATTCAGAGACTTTAAAAACAAAAATGAAATGCGTGGTCTGAATGCTGGTTTCACTGTGCTTTATAGGAAAGATCCCGCTTTCCCCTCTTTTGTCAATTATCACTGTGTCATTCATCAGCGAGTGCTAGCCAGCAAAGTATTGGATTGCTCCCATATGATGACTGTCATAGTCAAAATTGTAAATTTGATTTGCACAAAAGCTCTTCAGCACCGCCTGTTTAAGTTTGCATGTTTAATTGCTACCTCATTTCCCCCATGCACCTGCTCACTACAGTTACCGCCCCATCTTGTCAACCCATCCTAGCCCCGTTGTACCTTCCTCCATTGTCTTTTACGGATTATACCGTCCACATAGGGTCTTTAATAACGCTCTCCACAGGAGTCAAAACCGGCTCTCGTGACACACAGTATAGTATAGACAACTCAAAGAATGAAGTTCTAAGTATTTACAATTTGTTTTATGTTTTCTCATTAATATTGTAATGCATACGGCCTCCATTGCTTGCAAGAGCTGGCTTACCAGAGCGGTGACGTCACCGCCCTTCCCTGTGGATAGCAGGGACCGCAGGCACAGGGCTGACGGGAGACTTCCCTTTGGCTCAAGAGGCTGGGTCCCTCTTGAGTGGTGCCAGAAGCCTGGGTTTGAGTCCCCGATAATGGGGGGGCCGACCTGATGCGACAGCGGCGAGGGCGCCCACTTGAACCCTGTAGCTTTACAATATGTTCAAAGTGGATATTTTTAAAATATATTTAAAAAGTATGTAGATGTACATACATACACAATTCACAGTTGAATCAGAAGTGTTAAATTATGAAAATGCGATGTGAATTATCACAATAAAGAGTTTTGACATGTGACCCTAACCTTTGATGAAGGCAGTATGTAGCATCAGAATTGTGCCCTCTTGTGGTAGACTCGTTGAGCACACTTAACCACAACTTGCCAGAATGAATCGTGGTGCCTGTGAGCATACTGCATCTGCTACAATACCAGGCCTAAAACAGGTGATTTAGTTGAAAAAAGTGCTCATGTTAAAATGTTCAGCAGATTGCACATAAATGCATTTCTTCTGCACACACTAACAAAGGAGATTACAAAACCTCTCGAGTAGCAGCTCACAGTTCAGAAAGAGGAGAGAACTTTTATAAACGTTATTGAGGGCTTCAAACGTAGTTTCAGAAATAAGTACTGACAGTATTACAGATTTCATAGGACAGCTATTTCAAAAACAGAACAATACCAGTAAATTCTGGCTATGGACCAATATTCCAGGTACCACTGCTGTTATTTACCTCCAATGACTCTAGTAAACCCAGCCATACATCAGGTACCAGGCATAGAAATAAAAACAGCAACTGTAACCTCACAACAGTGGTTACAAACAAGAGGAGGGCATTTGGCTCATCTAACCTGTTATAGTTAGTAGTTAATTGATTAAGATGTTTAATAACAGAAGCCAGGGTAATCGTTTCACCAATATGGCTGAGTAGATTATTCCATACTCATAGAATCCTTTAGATGAAAAGTGCCTCCTGATATCTGTTTTAAAATGTGTGAAAGTTTCCAGGTGTCTTCTGGTTAGGATCCTGTAGAAGTCCACTGGTTCAACATTTCTTTAGTCACATGAATGTATTTGGCTGTTCTTCCTTTGGCTGATTCCAGAGCAGCAATATCGTTTGGTATTATAGTGATCAAAATTGTACACAATATTCTAAACGTGGCCCTTTTAGTGCATTGCACAATTCTAACTTAACAATTAAAATGTATGTGCAGGTTTAATTTTCTGTTAGATTAACATTTTATTATTATGTGGTTATGATCTATATTTGAATCACTTGGGTTCGTAGCTATGTGCACTTTTTTAATTAACGGATTTCTCATTTGTATTTTTTGTGCACTTTTGAAAATTTAGGGTATCCTAGCTGGCAATGATGCTGGTAGTAGTTAATACCCCTTTGTTCTTAAATGTATGACACAAAATTGTAAATTATAAATGTTATCATTATTTTTTTTTTACTGTCATAAGTATAAGCTAAGAACAGATGTGAAAACTTTTCTGTTTAACAATACTTTCATATTGAATACTGCTGGCGCATGTAAGAGTGTATATATACTTTTAGCTCTCGGCAAACAAGTTTATATTCTGTATTTGGTAGGTCACGCTCAACCCCCCAGTTTTAATATTCAAATAAGCCGAAATCATGGCTCGCCAAACCCAACCCGTGGAATTTAACCCAGCCTATCACCCACGCGTTGTTACCCCTGATTGACAGCTCTGCCAGCCGCATACACAGCAGCACCGGATCTTGGCTGGCCAATGAGAAGTTTTAATTAAAGTAGGGGAGGGAGTGGCTACCGTGCTTAGTGTTCGTAACTATATCAAGGAATAAAGGGAGGAGGTAAACACTGTTTTGAGTTTTGTTCTGAAAATTGGTTAGGTAGAACCGAGTATTAATGCAGAGGGAAGCCATTTAACTTAAAATAAAGCAATTGCAACTTTCAGCAGGTTGTGACGATTATATTTTGATTCGATTCGTTTTGGATTTGACAAAGTATATTTGTTAAACTTAGCCATACGAAACCTGTTGTAGCAGGTACTCATTAAAAGCGGAGGTTTAAACATGTTTTATGTTGTAATGAAGTCAAGATGAAAATAAACTCAGTTTCATTGTAAGATGATTAAAAACCTGCTGCTGACTGAAAATGAATCGACTGTGAGTGGTCCTCATGGGGTGTTGTGAGCGGAGAAAAACGTTTACTTATATTTAAATATTTGTGCTTTATCGTATTTTAATAAAATAAAGCATTCTTAGTTTAGCGGGTTGTAATCAAACTCAGTCCTGCTTATGAGTGGTTAAAATAAACTCGTGAAGGTGACATTGGTAGCCTCCATTGACTCTGTAAAGTTCTTTAGTTTAATTGGTTTCCAACTTTGAATTATGAACTCCAACTTCCTTCTTCGGCGTCAGGTTTACCTGTTCTTAGTGGTAAACATTAAAGTCTTCTGAGAAATTCAAGTTTACCCTTTTTTTCACTTTTATCTACCCAATGTGTGTGTTAACTGTAAAAGAAAATAGTACACGGGTGAAGATTGGTACACAAAATTCTAATATAAGTATAAAAATATGGAAACACAACAAGCGGCACCCTCAATGTGCAATGCAACATTTTAATTGGCACATTCAAATGTGAGTCAAAAGTTCCCTGTAGTGGCTCTTTCTGTTGCTGATGTGTTTAATCTATGCTGTTTAAGTTTGTTAGTCATAAATTATAATATTAGTTGTGAATGTAAGTGTAGTTTATGGTTTATTTCACTGTTGATGTTGTAAATGACTAATCTTTGCCTTAATATAGGACAATATCAGTGCAGTTTCAGCTGTTGCTACATGGATGCTGTTTAATTTTAGAAAGTAGTAAATGTTGAAATGTTATTAATCTTTAATTATGTGGTGCTATTAATCTTCCACTACATATAACATGTAATCAAACGTTACAGGTGACCTTTTGCTTGCATTTCAAACTATGTTGTGATTGTTTAACATTTAAGTCATGTGCAGTAGTTGCAACTGGTAAACGTACATTATCCTCCAGAAAGATGTACCTATCAGAGAACATAGGTTGAGAAAAGAAGTACAGAAAAGAAGAGGGAGAGATCTCAAAGCAGGGACGACAGATGAAATCACTGTAATAATGCACTTGTATTTTATTTGGTTTTGAGTCTTTCAGATCTATGTAACTAGTAAAAGGTAGATAAGCCACATTTTCTAGATAGACACATAGACTGTTTGAGGTGTTTTACTGAAAGTTAATAGTTTCGTATTTCACATTATTCCAATGTTAAAATACATTTTATCATTGTAAAATATGTGCACCTTGTTCTTGTTTGTAATGTATTTGTGTTCTTCAAAGCTGGTTAATTAAAATTTCTTAGTTATATAATTCATTTATTAATTGTTATAAATAGTAAAATACATTTGGGGTGGTAATAGATTACCATTAGGTGGTGATAGTAGTGTAGTGTATGTGCTAATTGTGATCCTTTCCAAGATCTTGCATTAAAAGTATTACGAGTAAATATGGGGTATTTGATCTTGTCATGGGGTAAAGTGATTTACCAGAAGTGGGTGGACAAGGCATGACTTCTAATTTCCTTTAACAGTGTGCTGTAATGCAGTTCAGTTTTATCTGACTGGCAATCGGTTAGTGAGGATAATACACTACTTTGTTGGGGTGTACTCTCAGACTGGGACATAAGGACCTCACTACCCATCTAAAAGCCACAGAACCATCTTTAAGACAACCAAAAAACAACCATGCAAGTCTTAGGCATTTTGCTTTATTCTGCAGTATTCTTTTTACTGCAAAGGATTTTGTCTATTTATGCAGAAACCCTATTCCATAGTGTTATGTTAATTACAATTTTAAGATGAGACATATTGTGTAGTACAACAATAACTTTGTAGATTTATATATGTGTAGAAAGGGACCAGTGTTAATGATGAGGTCACTTGATATTTAGTCAGCTAGGTTTGATTGGTAAATGTGATAGACCAGCTACTGTACCACAGAATTTCACGTTGGCTGGTAAAACAAGGTTTAGTTTACCTTGTTGTGAATTTTTAAAGGTTCAGAGGAAAGTGTTTCGCTAAATGACAGGCTTGGTGTTCTTTTCACTGGAGCTCCATAGCCAGTTATAATAGTGAAACATGTTAGAGGTGGTTTAGATTTGATTGTTGATGCTCATAACTTGCATATATTGTAACTCCTGTATCTAAAATATCTATGATTATAACCAACAAATTGTAGCCTTCAAGGACCAAAGCTAAGCATTACTGCCTGCAGTATGTCAGGGTTGAAGAAGTGACAAAGGCAGTGTGAGGCAGAGACTCCAGGATTTTATATTGTTTGTGTGTACCCTGAAGGTATACAAGACTGTAGAATTTGTGCGGGCACCATCGTGAGGAACAGGACCATCAGCCTGAGTGTCTGCTCAGGGAGTGATAATGCCTACAGACAGAGAGCCCACAGTGACAGCCAAACTACTGCAGCTCATCTTCCTCTCCACCTTCTGGGGCATGCAGATCTGGGTCACCTTCATATCAGGTAAAATCTCTAATGAGCACTCTTTTTTCTTTTCCAGAAGGGATGTGGAGAATAGCTGGTTTTAAATCAGCTGTGAATTTTTGTTTATTTTTATATTGAAGATATATTGATGCAAATGTTATTTCTGTTTGGAGTTGAATTGGTTTAATTTGAAACCAGAATTTAATAATTTTACTAATTATACTTTTTGAGGTCCCAGAAAGTAAAAGATTTCAAGTTGCTTATAAAAATTATCTGGTACATCCAATGACACTGTGACTAAAGCAAGTTTAAGGTGAATCATTGATAAAATGTTACTTTAAGCATTTAAAAATAGTAGTTGTTGGTTATTGGTAGTAGCAGCAGAGACGGCTTCAGTTGCAGGGTTGAAAAACTGTGTAATTTAGTAAAATGGAACAAAAACATACCCTGTTTTTGGATACAAACTATTTCTGTATCTCCCTTGCAACAGTAAGTAATGTTGCTTTATTAGTTCAGGTGGGTAGCCGTGTCAGCATGCATAGGCTGCAAAGGAACAAGTAATAGGTTAATTCTATGCTGAAAAAAGGGAGAAAGAAAGGTGTGAGAAAGACAAGGCAGTAACAAAGATAATGTAGCGGGAGAATAAAAGATGGCCCCTCAGGACAATTCCGGTTCACCCAGATGGCATCTTGTACCTCCAGCAACCATATTTACTGTATCTCTTGCAGTAAATGCCCAGCCATCTACATTGGAGAAACAGGAAGGAGACTCAGAGACCGCTTCAGAGAACATGTTAGGGCTGTGAAGATTTAAGATCTTTCCAAGCCTATTGTTTTTCATTTCACCTCTGACGGCCGTGACTACTCTAATCTCTCCGTCTGTGTTCTCAAAGACAGTTTTCCGAACTCATACATCAGAAAGACTACAGAAACCAAAATTATCCTGCAGCTAGGATCACTCCTTCCCCCTTCTCTTAATGACAAACTACTTTTCTTTTAAATTCTCTCTATTCATTGAAGGTTTCATTTCACACCCCTCTACACCTATTCTGACTTCACACCTCTTGATTGGCCTCTTCTGTCCCCTGCTCCCGCCTCTCGCCCCTCCTCTCTCCCAGCTTTTATTCTCCCGCTACATTACCTTTGCTTACTGCCTTGTCTTTCTCACACCTGAAGAAGGCTTCAAGGCTGAAATGTTGTGTTTTCTTTCTCCCTTTTTTCAGCATGGAATAAACCTATTACTTGTTCCCATGTTGCTTTATGATGGGTTACTCTTTTTTTCTAGGCTTTGTGATGGACAATAATCTGAACAGACACACATTTGGATTCATCCAGAGTCGGCTGTTCCCTTTCTATTTCCATATCGGCTCTGCCTGTGCATTTTTCAATCTTACTATATTTGCCATTTACCATCCTAGTGACCTGCTAGATGACAAGGAGGCCTTCCAGGTACGCCATTCAGAATTGAACCCTTGGTGTCTGTCAAATCTTGACCCCTGTTTACCAAGAGATTAGAGATTTTGGCTGCTCTTTTGAGTCTGCATTGAATCTGATTTAGGGGGTGCAAATGACATGTTTTTCTTGACCTGTTTGGTAAATGAGAAGAGTGCTGTGGATAGTGGTAGAAATCTTAATTTACGTTTTGGGGTAAGTTTCCCGAAAACGATGAATCTTGGAGATTAACGAGCAACTTTACGATGTACGTACATAACATACGTGCTACTTTTTCCCAAAACCCCTCTTAATCGGTCATTTTAAGAGTGAGTATAAAGTACTTCTTTGTTAACCCCGCCCCTGAAGTCGCTTAGCAAAAAGCATCACAATCTTAAGATGGAGTTTCACGATTTTCTTAGTGCTACGATGCTTTCGGGAAACTCACCTCGGTTCTGTTATAAAAAAACGCTAAGAAATCTGTGTGTAGTTGTCTATAGTTAAAGGTTTTGACTCCTTTCACCCCATAATTGACTACAATGAACGTTTTTTCCTTAATGTGATAGTTTACATGGAAGTCATATTAGATTGCTTTAAATCCACCAAATCAGAGCAGACAAGAAGTTTAACATGCTTAAGCTTGGTGCAGATGCAGCCATTCAAAATGCGCGGGCGATACCGCATTATTTTCCTGTACACTGTACGCAGTCTACCGCAAGCTACCGGTAAATACCGCGAGTAACCGGTAAATAC